TTGTGGGGCAAGCCTGTGACCCACTTTCTTTGGGGCTGGGGAAATACCAGCTGGGGGAGGGAAGCAGCTCACCCAGCACACTCAGCAAACTGGGGCAGGACCCAGCATCACCTATGAGAGGAGGAGGCATTGCCCAGACAGATGCCAGCGTGGCTCTTCCTGAGGGGTGGGTTTTGGGAGCACGCAGCCCTCAGGGCTGTGCTGGGCCCCCAGCCCAGCAGTGGGGAGCACCCAGACAGAGGGAGAGCCCGTGTGCCTGGAGAAAGCCCTTTCGGCAAGTTTGGGGACTTTGTGAGCCTTCCTAAGGCCCCCCACCTCCAGCATCAGGAGGGAGCAGGCTCAGAGGTCCAGGGGATCTCAGCAGCCCCATGGCCCCCACTGTGACCTGCACATCCCCAGCATCCTGGGGGTGACCTCTTCCTGTGCCCCCAGGGGTGGGACAGGTTTGTGGCTGGGGTGCCCCATGCTTGGGCACCATGTCCCCATGCTGTCCTTGACAAGCATCGGGAAGGGTGCTGAGCACTGTGGGGCTGCCTGGGGATGGGTAACACCCCACATACCAACCCACAGGGGCTCAACACAACACGACACCCGCTCTCTACCCGAGGCGACACAGAAACAGGTTACTGCACCCATCCTGCACACAGGCAGCACGTCCCGGGCAACACAGCACACCTCAACATGCCACACAGGCAATGGCACATCCAGACAGCACGACAGAGGAAGCATGGACAAGCCTGGGCCTCCACAGCAGGTAGGTGTGGGGCCACGAGTGTGGCCACGGGGCAATGACACACATGGAGCCCACAGCTATTTACCTTCTCTGTCCCCTTGCCATGTTTTCTCAAGAGCGTGCCCTGTAGAAGCAATGTCAGAGGTTGAGAGGTGGGGTGGGGAGACAGCATGGGACGGGACACAGGGAGAGCAGGACAAGGCTGGGCACGTGGGGTGGCCACGAGCTGGTGACAAAGACATCGCTGAGCTCCTCAAGGACAGTCAGGGCCAGTGGGGAAATGGTCCCTCTTGGGGTGCTGAGCCCATGGTGGACTGGTCCCCGTTGGGATACAGGGCTTTTGGGGGACTGGTCCACAGGGGGATGCTGGGTCAGTGAGGGACGGGTGTCTTTGGTATGCTTGGCCAACTGGTTCTCACTGGAACACACAATATCACGCTGATGGGGAACCACTTCCCACGCAGGGGTGCTGGGCTTATGGTAGCTGGTTCTTGCTGGGATACAGGGGATGCTGAGCACATGGGGGACTGGTCCCCAGTGGGATACAGGGAGGCAGGATCCAGGTGGCAGAAGCCTCTGGTGCCCCCACGTTCCCCTACAACACTGGGGAGGAGACAGGGAGGGGGCAGCTGTACTTGAGTTTCACACGCGCGTTCTGGTCCATGCAGTGCTGGGCCCTGTGACAACCCCACACTGACCCAGGCCAAGAAGAATGGCAAAATGGGGCAGCAGTGCCATGTGGAGGGTTCCCAACCAGCCTCTCAGGACCCTGCACCCTGAGTGAGCTGACACCATCCTAGTCCCCTGATAGCCTCAGCAAATCTGAGCCCATGGGGTCCCCCGTGGGGCCTGAGGGGAGGCTCAGCTCAGGCTGACCCAGGGTCTCTCCAAATGCTGCTGTTGGAAAGAAATGGTGCTGGGGGACAGGGGACAGTCATTTGTCCCCACAGGGACTGGCACCAGCACCCAACCACCAGAACCCACACCACTACTCCTTGCAAAGGTACCCGTGGTCAAAGCAGGGGTGGGAGCAGGACTGGGGGTGGACGTGGCCCTTCCTTTGTCCCACAAGGCATAAGCCCATGGCCACAGACTGAGCAGAAGAGGACAAAAGGAAACTGCTCAGTCAAAGCCATGCAGGGACTCAGCAGTAACGCCAAGAAGGGAACCCAGGACTCCAGGCTCCCAGTGCCATATCCCAGCCAAGGAAAAAGTCCCACAACTCATGCCAGCAACTTGACCCACCACTGAGCAACCGGACCAGGGACTGTTGTGTCCCAGGGAGATGCTCCTCTCCACAGGCAGGAAAGCCTCTGCCTTCAACCCATACCATAGCCACCCCCCAGCCAGAGCCTCAAGGGGAAACTGAGGCACAAGGGGTCAGGGAGAGCAACCCTGACTGCCAGGCACACACCACTCCCCCTACTCATGTTTCCAGTGGCCTCAGCATGAAACAAGACAGGATCAGCCTGGATTTGACTGTCCCTGATTACATGGCACTGCTCCATTCCGTTGCCCTGACACCCCATCACTAACCCTTGTACTTCCCCACATCCAGCTTCCTTGAGTCTCTCCACGACCTTTCTTTCCGCCCCCAAACCCAGGCAAATGCCCACCAGGAGCCAGTGCCAAGCGGGCAGTACAAGGAGGGGGACCACAGAGGTGGGCTGCATCAGGAGCCGAAGGAGGGTGTGGGCAGGGTGCGGGCAGCCACACGAGGAAGGAACCGGCGGGGGCAGG